ATGTTTCTGTCCGTCTCTCCAAAGATATATTCTATCTTCCGATGTTACATTTTTTGAACACCAAGCTGGTCATTCTTCATCTGTCTCTTCCAGCCCCTCAGACTCTTATGACTATTTGACCCTTCAGGAAACTTTATTTCAGCAGGTTGACTCTCTGGCTGATAATGGTACTGGTAAAGATCCACAGCGCCTTCAGGGTCCTCTCCAGGTTTATACACGTCGTCAGTCTTCTGCTCCTGTACCTCTGTCTACCTCTACATCAAATCCTGTTCCAAGTGCTACTGTACCCTTGTCTGCGAGTTCTGATGATCTTCCTATTGCATTACGTAAGGGTAAACGAACTTGCACTCAACATCCTCTCTCCAATTTCGTTTCATACTCTCATCTTTCCTCTTCCTTTAAATCTTTTATCTCTTCATTGGACTCATATCTGGTTCCCAAGACTGTGTCCGAAGCTCTATCTATACCAGGTTGGGATCAAGCTATGAAGGATGAAATGGCTGCTTTGGAGCAAAATGATACTTGGGAGTTGGTATCTCTTCCGCCAGGCAAAAAGGCGGTTGGCTGCAAATGGGTTTATACTGTTAAACTCAATCCTGATGGTACTCTAGCACGCTTGAAGGCGTGTTTGGTTGCAAAGGGTTTCTCTCAAGTCTATGGTCTTGATTATTTGGATACGTTCTCTCCTGTTGCTAAGATGACTTCAGTTCGTCTTCTCATTTCTATTGCCACTACCTATCATTGGCCTTTACATCAGCTTGACATTAAGAATGCATTTCTTAATGGTTTTCTTGATGAAGAAGTTTACATGGAGCAACCGCCAGGCTTTGTTGCTCAGGGGGAGTCTTTGAAGGTTTGCAAGTTAAAGAAGTCTCTATATGGCCTAAAACAATCTCCGCGTGCCTGGTTCTGTCGCTTTACATCTGCAGTCCTTTACATCTGCAGTCCAAGACTTTGGTCTTAGTAGATCAGAGAAAGATCATTCTGTCTTCTGGAGACTACATAATGGCAAGCGAATCCTGCTCGTTGTATATGTGGATGATATTGTCATCACAGGGGATGATACAACTGGGATTAGCGGTTTGAAGAAACATCTACATGAGCACTTCCAGACTAAGGATCTAGGGTCTCTCAAGTATTTTCTAGGTATAGAGGTGGCCAAGTCAAAGAAGGGTGTTCATTTGTCACAGAGAAAATATGTGCTCGATATGCTTTCAGAGGCTGGCATGTTAGGATGTAGAAGTATTGATTCTCCAATGGATGTAAATGTTAAGTTGTTACCAGATCAGGGGGAGCTTCTTGAAGATGTTGGACGATTTAGAAGGTTAGTAGGAAAATTGAATTATTTGACTGTAACTAGACCAGACATCACATTTGCGGTGAGCGTAGTCAGTCAGTTTCTATCAGCACCAAGAACTACTCATATGGATGCTGTATTAAGAATTCTGCGATATCTAAAGAAAGCTTCAGGAAAAGGTCTACTCAGATCAAGGACACACAAGGGTGGCAGGTTTTTCAGATGCAGACTGGGCTGGGTGTCCTGTTGATAGGAGATCAACCACAGGATATTGCGTATTTGTTGGAGGAAATCTTGTATCATGGAGGAGTAAGAAGCAGAACGTAGTATCCCGGTCTAGTGCAGAATCAGAATACAGGGCAATGGCAAATGTAACACTGGAAATGGTCTGGATTCGCGATTTGTTAACAGAAGTTGGTCTTGCCCCAGAATGTCCTATGAAACTATATGGTGACAATCAAGCAGCAATTCACATTGCTGAGAACCCTGTTTTTCATGAAAGGACGAAGCACATTGAAGTCGATTGTCATATTGTTCGAAGGAAGATTGTAGATAAAATCATCACTACAAGACATGTATCAACAGGTCATCAGTTAGCAGACATTCTAACAAAACCACTTGGGAAAACTCGGGTAGATTTTATTTGTGACAAGCTGGGCATGTATGATATATATGCTCCAGCTTGAGGGGGAGTGTTGAGAGATAATATGTAATATGGATTAGTGGTTTAGTCCCACATCGGTTGTAACACCAGACTTGTATCCTTTTGAAACTATATATAGACTAGAGTATGAGACCCTAATCTCATAACTCTTTTCTCTCCAAAACTCTACTTATAAGATTAACAATCCCCAATTGTAAACTCCTTACAACTACGATAATTTCATATCTTATCTCATAATGTATTGCCGACCAACCATTTCAACGTTCTAATTTTCAGCTGCACTTACTTTTTGAATGTGTTGTTTCTTTAATTCTCCAACATGTATAGTCAGTTTTTAAATTTTTCTTTTCCAGTTTTATGGGGGTCTTGTTAAAATCCAATTTCGGCATTGCATTGATACATGGGGGTGTTTGGCAAACTAAAAGTGAATCGAAAGAGCGAAAGACTTTTTTTTAACAAGTGAGAAAGTGTATCCATGTTAGAATGCAAGTAAACTACAGTGTTTGTTTGAAAAAGTAAATTATTGTTGAAGCTAGGAAGGTGAAGAAGATGTGGAAGTATTATTTTATTTATTTATTTAAATCAACTTGTAAATACTTCTTTCAGTTGTGAATCCAACTCGACTATACATTAATTTGAATGATTAGTTCAAGGATTAAGCACTTCACACAAGTTGTTCAGTTTTTCCCCCTTTCAAAAAACTATAGGTAAGTACATGGCATTAATGCATACAAGTATAATAAAATGCATCTTAAACATATGTAATTGTGACACAAGCATACTAACTGATAGCTGTAAATACTAGCTAATGGCTGCTAAACAGTTTTATCACGAGCTTAGCCAGCTGTTGCCACTGAATTGTAGGGAGAAGCATAAAATATATTAATAAATGTAATATTTTAATATATTATGGTTCCTAATTGTCCACATTCAAGTGACTTCAACACTTTTTCTTGGGGAACTTAAACATGCATTAAGGCTGATGTGGATAACTTTTTGTATTTCACTTTCAATTAAACAAACACATGAAGTGTTAATCATGTTTCACTTTCACACTTTAGTTTTTCACTTTCGTGCAAACAAACACCCCTGTGTTCATCCTTTTTCTCAGTCTCACCACCATTATGAATGGTTGAACATGGTTTCTGCTCATAAACTGTACTAGATTTTGAAAGAGCATGGTAAAATTAATAACTTTAACTGTTTAGTTTCCAAATCAACCGACTAGGTTAACCCAGACTGTCAAGGTCATTGAGCTTCAGATCCCAGTTTTTTGCTTTCAGCTGCTATAGCATGATACACACGCTTTCAGCTGCTATAGCATGATACACACACCTTCAGCTGAATAGTGGAAGTGATTTGTGCAATGTGATAGAAGAATTTATCATAATTATTATAATGTTTGAACACATGATATATCACTCAATTAATGTGCTGAAAAAGTTCAGCGAGCAGTTGTAAAGTCTTCAACTAAACATGCATTTCGGAATGTCAAGGAAAATGAGCTGAAGGAGTGTTGCCAATGGTCCCATAGGGATGTTCCTGTATAAAACTGCTGAATAAATCCTTTTAGACCAATCTTTATGTTAGGATCTGACAAGTGTAGGTGTTTCTACAACCCAAGATTGATCACCTCACTTTGCGCAGCAGATTGGGGATGATACGGAGCACTTGACTTCCGTTTAAAGAGCTGGATTTCAGCCACTTAATTATATGGCTGATCTAATGGCAGAATTGATAGATCAAATAGTCTCTAAATGATGTAACAAAACAAAAATTGATAGATCAAATGGTCTCTAATGGTGTAACAAAAAGAGGCAAAATTTGAGACATCATGTCAGTTTTTTTCACGTCTAATGTGGTTTTTAACTTTTTACTGCTGTTGTGTAGATAGTGTTGCTTTCCACCGGTTTCATGTTTCAAATTGAAATCGTATCCTTAGCCATTCTTATGCAACGTTGATTCTAGACACAACGAAGCCTTATCCCATCAACGAAGTTTGCATATGAATTATATGCTCCAAAAAATAAAAATAAAAAGAACACTCCATATGCGCAGTTGCGCACAGAAGGAAATGTGCACAACCACAAACAAAAATGCATATGCACAAAACCCTAAATACTTCGTGTTCAAACAACCTGGTAACGGTGTTATGATGCATTTTGTCCAGCCATTTTGTTTTCTTATCTAAGGGTTTGCATTAAGATGAAACAAAAGTTTCAGACATCTAAAGAATACTTTTGCTAGTGACCTAGGCAGTGCCATAAGCACCTAAGGCCCTAGTGCAGCTGATATTAACTAGATTTCTGCAAGTGCAATGCACCTGAGATAATTAAATGACACCACTTTAAGTTTCTTCATCTATTTGTTATGGTACAATCTGCCTTGTATTGTAACCACTAATTTTAACGAGGTCATTTTTGTAACTTTGGAGCACTCAGTTGCTCAGGCAGGGAAGAAAACTGTATCAATGCCTTCCCGGTATAAGATAGCAGAGATGTCAAAACTTATCTCATATACAGGGAAGAAAACTGTATCAATGCCTTCCCGGTATAAGATAGCAGAGATGTCAAAACTTATCTCATATACGGATTGTACTTTGGCATTCTTGTAATATTTTATGGCAGGTTTTAGTCTTTACTAGTTTCCATGTTTCTATGAAAAGAAGATACAACGATGTAACCTGAGCAAAGTTCTTTGCATAAGAATACCTTTGCTTATTATACTTGGAAATTAGCTCTAATAGATCCTTTTACAAATTTGTGATGTTTATGGCTTTATCAATTGCAGAAATTTGTCACATGCAGAATGGACTTAATTTGATTTTATTTTTTTGGGAAGGTTGATCGACACCCAACATTCAAAAGATCAAGATGCCTTTTTGTTGTGAGGACTGATGGTGTCTGGATAGATTTTTCATACCAGAAATGCCTTCGGATCAAGATGCCTTTTTGTTGTGAGGACTGATGGTGTCTGGATAGATTTTTCATACCAGAAATGCCTTCGAGCATACATTCGAGAGAAGTATCCATCCTGATGGTGTCTGGATAGATTTTTCATACCAGAAATGCCTTCGAGCATACATTCGAGAGAAGTATCCATCGTGTTCAGAGAAATTCATCCGAGGATGTTTCAAAGGTACTTGAAGGTTTCAGGTGAGGATAAGCAGAATTAGTCCTTACATTCAAGCCTTTATTCTAGCTGTGCTCCTTCAGCTCTTGCCAGTATTAAGAGTTCATGTTGCCTTTTGCTCATGTTCAGCTCTTGGATTGAGAAATCGCAATGATCTATTGGCACAGCAAGATAATGCAATGTAGAGTTTTTAATAGTAGCGATTCAAGCATGAATGAGTCGAGCTCTAGAATTCTTAGTGTAGGAAACTTGGTGTTTATAGTGGAAATTACGAGTCTTCTGCTGCGTATGATATTTAGTTTGTGAATGTGACCAATGTGAAGTTTTTAATATAGTAGAAATTCAAGTATGAATGAGTCAAGCCCTAGAATTACTAGTGTAGAGAACTTTTGTGTTTAAAGTGGAAATTATGAATCATCTACCGTGTATGATAATTTAGTTTGTAGATGTCACAAAACTTGCAATCATACTCATGTTAGTAGTCCACATACTGTCATCATTCCTTTGATATAATTTGCTGCGTAATCTGTGAAAGTATCCTCTTCTTTCAATGTAAATTTATATTCTTTCCCTTTATCAGTGGCATCAATATTCAGCGCTACAAATATGCAAATGCTCTTCACAAAGGTCACCCTTGGCTTAAGGAACTATATTGCATTTCTTAAGTAAATTAAAAAAAAACGGTATAATACGCTTCTGGTGCGTGTGATCTCATCTTACAATCTATAAGCTGCAACTTTTAGCTAAAAGTTGTAAATGGAAAATCATAACAAAGTGCGGTCTTTTAAATTTTGACCATAGGAACTCTTCTAATAATTTAAAAAGGGGTTAATTTTTAACACATGGGTGGTTTTGCACATAATCTCCTGCTTGAATTTTGTTTATCCGCGGGGGGGGGGGGGGGGGAAGAAAAAGAAACGCATGGGTGGTCTAAACAATCCCTGGTGGCGAATTTTATATTATCCCATTTGACCCTTAGTCTGCAATTTGCAAATAATTAAATTGTCTTTGAGGAAGAAAAAAAAAATCCAAACTTTATCACTTGTCATTACAAACAATATTTTGCCTCCCTTAAAATTTGAGTTTTTTCTCTCGCATTCTTTTAGTTATTTGCAAATTCTTGTAGGGCGTTTGGTGAGAAAAGTTTATAGTTTAGGAAACTTTGTTCATCTCACGTGATCACCAAAAAATAAACATACGCAAAAAAAAATTCTTTTGGGGGGTGGGTTCTGAAATTAACGGCAAGTTATAATAATGATTAGCATAGGACAATTTCTGGAGTGAGATTGATATGATTTATATCTTTTACATGACACTTGCATAATTCTAGAATCTCGAACGCCTATTTCTTTTGTCAAATCCTTGCAAAAGGTGCTCATTACATGATACCTAAATCTTGTTTAGCTTGTAATCATAAATTAGCTTTGAAGCAACAAAAGTGAGCTCATCATGATTACAGTACCTATGATCTTATTGCTTTTCATTTTTGTCAACATGCACATTCATCAACTTCACAACTGGGCGCAACTATTGAAAACCAAGGAGTAAGCTCCATTGTAGGGTTTGACTCAATGATGAGTTAAAGGAAAGCTTATGCTTGAAGAGTACTGGAAACCACGATCTGAGGTGGGACCAATTAAGAGCCTAAAGAGCAAGAACAATCCTTCTCTCCTTGCTCCTTTCTTTTGCTTTCACCCCCCTCTTTCTTCCTCTACTCAATACCCTCCTATACTACTTTTGAGCCTTTATTTTCCCTCCTCTCAAATAAGGAAGAATAACTCGTGCTACTTTTTTTTTTTTTTACTACTGTTATAGGCAAACGGAAAAGGCTTAATTGTATTCCCCTACTTTGTGCTTGCGTACCCTCACTTGTTTTTGGCAACATTTATACATCCTAAAGTATTTAGAATCCGCACTCAAAATACCCTTATTTATGCAAATGTGATAATTGCCCCCGAAAATTCTCTTGTGATGCTCACGGAATATTTTTACTTGTAGTATTTGTGAAATTTACTGTTAAACCTATCAAAATATTATTTTAAAAATGAAATTAGTGTAGGTTTTTAAAATAGAATTACTACAGTTATAACTTTGAATCTAAAAAAATTATTAAGGGCTATAAATTCTAAGATTGGTATGTAGTGTTGTCTGACAATTTTAGGAGGAAATTCTCATATTTGTATGACTCTGTATATTTAAGTGTAAAATTTAAAAACTTTAGGTACGAAAGTGCTATAAAAAACAAGTATGGGAAACTATAGAGTATTTAAGTGAGATCAAGCCAATGGACAAACTATCCAGTTTGTCCGGCACGTTGAATTAATGGTGCTTCAAAAGTATATTGACCCTTTGATCACTAGACTTCTTGATTCGTACCTAGATCAAAAGCTTAATATTTTGTGGTGCATCATTATTCTTAGTCTAACTAATGACGAAGAGATTGCTCTAATTTCATTTTAATGTTTAAAATCATATACACAAACGGGAAAAATGATTATAAGCAGGGGCAGATCCATATTGGTGGAAGTTGTGTCAAGAAGTGGAGTCACTTGACACCACTTTCACCAAAGCGCTTCCTATGTATCCTATGATTTTATAGAGCTCTAATGCACATAACACACTTTCCTATTCACATGTAACCAAACCATCACAATAAGCTCCCATCACCATACGGGTTGATCAATTACACATCATAAGTTTATATAAACTTATGATGGAATATATAAACTTATGATGGAATTACTAAAGTGAGATTATGTACTTCATATTGTTATTAATGATGTATTTGATAGCGTTACTAGTGATTTGATTATGTAGTTTTTTTTTCGAAATATGAAAACTCGTCGGTGACAACTGTAAAGATTTTTAGTATTAATCACGTGGTGACATCACTTTCTAGAAATCTTGGATCTGCCACTGGGTTATAAGGTGACAGTTCATCTAATTAATGATATCAAGAGAGGTTTACTTCACTGGTCACTCGGAAGAGATATAACTCAACACGTCATCAAATGTATATGGTAAAAGTTTAATATAATTTTTAAAGTTTTCTAGAATATGAATCAAAATAGTTTGATATGTTGATCTTTCAGGTAGCTTAGCTGTGATTAAGAATATAATTTTTTTAAAAATATAATTTTTTCTACATATAGATCACGATGAACGCAAATCAAGATGAGTGGTGCTGATTATCGTTTCAAATAGCCTATTGAGCTAGCTCACAATAAGAATTTGAGCTCGCTATTTTATTTTATCATTTTCCTATATAACTTATCTTGCTAAATGAAGTTACAACTCATCTAACATCCCCATTTCAAAATTTTAGTTAGGTTACAATTGATCGATATAAACTTTCAAAATAAATTTTTTTTTAAAAAAAAGAAAAAAAGATCATGATAGTGTCCTGACTTGATGAGCTTCCTGTTTCCTCTCGCTTTTCCTTTCTTCGAACAAGAAAGTGAAAGGACCATGGGCATAGAGAGAGAGAGAGAGAGACTCGTTTGACTTGGGCAGTATTTTTTGTTTCATATACATACCAAGAAAGTCATAGGGAAGAGAGTAGATAAGTATAGTTTTTATGCTACAAAAAATTCAATCTCTTGGCAGGAAGGAAAGGTTGCTTTACGTCTTCTTCTTCCAAGACTTTGCCCCTGCAGACTGCAGTGATGACAACTCTCCATCTCTGTAGACTACAATAGACTTTGACGCAACACTTCTTTTGTTTTTCGCTAGAATTAGTCTTTTTATATTCAGCTCTTTTAATCTTTTTTTTTTTAAATTTTTTTGCACGCTAAGCCTCACGATTTATTAATTTAAGTAACAACGGGTGACAAAAGAAGCCTGTCTGTCATTAAAGCTGCTTTGAGACATGCTACAGCGCTTCACGCGGGCTTAAGGGGGTGATTAATTAATTATTAGCAAGGGTTTCAAGGTGTTAAATCACCGCTGCTTTTGATTAGCTTTAAATTAATTTGGCAATGAGGGAACTTCCTTTTATTACTCTTTTTAATTTCTCTTTTTTTGGGGGTAATCAGCAAAAGTACGAAGTTGCGTGATTACTTCAACTCTTTTTGGTTCCTACTTAGATGCCAGCTAATAATGCTATTGCTAGTGAGTAGTGAAGGTCAAAAATTAGGCAATGGTTTCTTTTCTACTGTAAGACTGTTCATTTTGGCCCCTCTTATTTGATAAATTATTTTTTGACGAAGGGTAACAGTTTTTACTGTTTTTTCAGTTTAAAAAAAAATAAAAAAGAGAGATTCATTGTTGAGAACTTGAGAGAAAGGATCATGGCCCTTGCGTCATCAAATAACTGGATGTGGTAATACTTGCAAAGAATAAAAGTGAAAAATTCATTAGGTACAGTCAAATTTGTTTAACTCATTTTATCATCTAGCGTGGCATCACTTTCAAATTTCAATAGGCGCGCGCGTCAGCTTCTGGTTTGACTAAAGATGATCTCACCCAGTCAAATTTGTTAGTTCACTTATAAAAGAATTCATATGTTTTAAAGAGTGGTCAATAAATCTTTTCGTTATTTTTCAATTGTTCTCCTTTGCCATTGGATACATTCTTAAAATTATTTGAATGAAGAGTGTAAATAATAACGCAACTCATGGGAAATAACTCAATCAAGAACAAATATTTAATACACCTTCAAAACCGAATAGTAAAGAGTAATCTAAATCTTTTTTAAGACCTTGAACCTCTTGAAATACTAATTCAGTGCATCTGATTAATGAAAGCGTGCATCCAAGTATTCATGAAATACTTCTTTTAATAAATATTTGTTTGCAGAAACAGAGCAATAAAAACACTTAAGGGTTACTGGGGAACTGAATTGAGTGGGAACTGGAAAAGTTAAACGAAGAGATGGTTGCAGCGTACGAACTTTTTAGAGGGAGACAGAGAGGGTATTACAATAAAAACACTAAGGGCTCGTATTCAGCGAGCTCTTAAAACTGGGTCAAAATTCAACCTGGCCCAAATTTGGGTTTGCTTCTGATGAGCAAAAACCGATCAACTCTGGCCTAGTTCTTTTCAGACCAAAAATAGACAATAAAACAAGTTCAATTTTGGAGGGAGGGTGATACGTGCCACCACCGTTCACAACGTGGATAAGCGAGTAGTTGCGTAACTTGTGTTCTACTTAGTGGATAGTTATGTTTTGTGGGTAGCTGTAGAGAGAAGAGTGGTGTTAGTGGGTAGAGATAATATTAGTGTAGTTATATATAGTTGTTGTAACGGAGATGATGGTATGAATGAGAAATATCGTTTGCTTATCCTCTAGTTCTTCTCTTTATCTTCATCCTCTGTTCCTCTTCTTATTCCTCTATCAAATTCAACCTCATCAGAGGGCTGTGCCGTTTAGGGGGAACTGATTTAGAGTAGAAGTTGGCCAGGAATGAACCTGATCCAATTTTTTGGTGATCGCCACACGCACCCTAAGATAAAGTGTAATGTTGATATAAGGCCATGAACCAAAGACAAATGTCTTGCATTATTGGATGGTGTCGCAATGAAATGCCCTTGTTTTAACAGAGCTGGGGGGGGGGGGGGGGGGGGGGGGGGGGGGGGGGGGGGGGGGGATGTGCCCCCTTCTAGTAGTCAAGATTTTTTTTGCTTTGCTTTGGAACAGAGCAACAACAGAGTGATATAGAGAGTGCGAGTGAGATCGAATCCTAAGTGCAGAGATACAACATAGAGAGAGTCTCTCTCTCTCTCTCTCTGTAGATTACTTTGTTTTGGATTTTGGATTCCACTGTGTGTCTTATTTGTGCCTGATTTGCTTTTTGCACGAATGATTTCAAAGGCTTTATGTTTGTCCTCCCCAGAAGCGTACATGCATGCTTCTCCCTTTTTTTCCTGAAGGAAATGATGGATGGCCGTAAAAACTGAGGGGGGGGGCGGGGGGGGGGTTATTTGTCAATGGTTCAAGACATAGCTTGTTGTCTCACACTCTAGGCTTATCTAAGGGAAAGTATTATGAATTAGTCAAGTATACTATCGAATTAGTCAAGTTAGAATTAGAAGATTTTTCTTTATGAGTTTAGAACCCGGACTTATTTAAATCATATTATTGAACGGAGAGCGGTTGGGAATCTGTATCCTTTCAGAACATTCTGCACGGTGTGAGACATTCTGAACCATCGTGACATCCAATAAGGAACAGTTTAGATATTTTCTTATCTCTATATAGCTTAGAACTCCCCAAGTAATTGGGTTGTTTTGATGAGATCTCCGGTGATTATATATATGTATCAGTTGAAGCTTAATACACTGATTCAAGAGGTCTTCTACTGTTGATAAATGATATGTCAATTTTTAAAAAAAGTGGATAGCATTAGGCTGAGCTAGTATTATAATGTGTCTTCTCTACTGCCCGCTGTCATTTCTAATAAGTTGCGTACGGAAATGCGATGTTGATGATGCTCAATTAATGACCACCAACAACTGTTAAAATACTTGCTCTTTATAATATCCCGTCACACGGAACCACGACCCTCATAACTCTCGCAATCATACTTTAATAAATCTCAGTTATCATTAAACTCATTACTCATTAAGCTATAAGTAATACTTATTTGTTCTCGGTTCTTGTTCATATACAACAACGTCGTTCCTACTTCCCATGCTTTCGCCCGTTCGGTGCCCGTGCCCGTGGAGCCAACGGAAAGCAAAGAAAATACCAAAATTTTGCAAAAATGCCCAAAATCAGACCACGTATAGGTAGTAGAATTTTAGAAGCCATACTATGTATACAATATTATTTTTAGTACCAACCCCCATAAATCCTCAATAATCTATAGGGCTACATTTTCACTTGTTATGTTGGAAACTCTCCCACAAACTAACTTGGTTCAGAAATTGCTTAAGGCCCCTAATCAGTATTGCTTGATATATATATATTTTTTTTTCAAAAACAAGGCCCCTAATCAGTTTATTTTTGTTCCATTCAAATCTTGGATCAATCCTAATTCGGATTAGCTTGGAGATCTCAGACACAATCCCATGAACTAGAAATTCCTGAACATGGCTTCACCTAAAAATCCAGAAATGAAACGAGGAAAATTAGATATACAGGATTGATGTGACCCAAAGTTGATCATTTTCAATAATAAAATATCAATTGATCAGTTTTCTAATATAAATACCTTATTTTTTTTAAAAAAAAATCACCATTTAAGAACGACCAAAACAATAAAAAGCACAAGTTGAATTTTAAAGAAAAAGTGAAAAAGAAAAGTTAAAAAAAAGGAACAGTAGAAAAAAGGCAGGGCGTGGTAAGTCTAGCCCAATTAAAACCCACCCCTTTTCCTCTCTCTCTCTCTCTCTCTCTCTCTCTACCCCCCACTATACAAATCAAACAGAGGCAAGCTCAAGCACACAGGAAGCAAACCTCCACCTCAAAATCACTCAAAAGAGATACGCACTTCCTCAAATGAGAGAAGCAAGAAGAAGAAGAGCTAAACCCAGCTCTCTCTTCTCCTCATCCCAACCCTAAACAAGAGAACCCATTATCAATCAACAATGGTAGCTCTCTTTGACCCTCTCTTTTGCCCGGAAGACCCGTTTCTCGAAGAAGAGGTCTTCGAACCAAATAATGGCGAAAAAATCCATCTTTTTGAACCCAACTCAGAGTTCCTCGCTTCTCTAATCTCCAGCGAGCAGAGAACCCACAACTTTACTCTCAGCGACGACCCGTACCTCCTCTCAGCGAGAGGGGAAGCAGTTCAGTGGATCAAAACCGCGAGCGCTCGATTTGGGTTCAATGCTCTGACAGTGATCTTGGCGGTGAACTACCTCGATCGCTGTTTCCTGTGCTCCGCTGGGCTACGATTGCAGCAGGACAAGCCGTGGATGAAGCAGCTCTCCGCGGTAGCGTGCCTCTCTCTTGCTGCTAAAGTTGAGGAGACACGTGTCCCGTTTTTGTTGGATCTTCAGATTCCGCCGGCGGAGGAAGTTATTACTGGCTTCGTGTTTGAGTCAAAGACTGTTAGGAGAATGGAGTTGCTGGTGCTCTCTACTCTTGGTTGGAGGATGAATCCGGTCACCGCCCTCTCTTTCATACAGTGCATGTTGCCGAACTTGAAGAAGACTTGTGGTTATAATGCGGTAGGGATTTTGAGGAGCTGTGAGCTTGTTTTGCTCTCAGTTTTATCAGGTGGGTATCCGTCAAAATGCAATCTTTTTCCCTGTAGCTAGAGATTTTTTGCATCACATTGTGTAAAAATCGAATCTTTTTGGTTCAGATTGGAGATGGGTTCAGTTCCCTCCCTCTGTTTGGGCTGCAGCTTCAATGATGCAAGCATTGGGGCTTCATTTGGACTCGGTGCAGCACATTATGGACTTGCTTCAAGTCTCTAAGGTTGGCTAATGCAAAAAAATCTTATTAGTTCATTGCATAATGAGGAACAAATTTATTAATTTTTTGACAAATTTTTACAGGAGAGAGTTGAGGAGTGCCATAAGCTAATTGTTGAGCTAGTGGAAGTTGGCAAAAAGAGGAAGAGTTGTTATTTAGACCCACCAAGCCCAAATGAAGTTATTGGGTCTTGTTTCAGCTATGAGAGCTCATCAAGCTTGGATTCATGGCCAATTTCCCCTGAGCACAAAAAGCCCAACTGCTCCATTATCTAGAGTAATTTTCGTCAAATTAGTATATTAATCAAAAAATGAGGATTGGGTTCTTTCTCTTGCTGAGCTCTAAGGGAGCAAATTTTGCTGGGTGTATGTATTGGGCAATGAGGAGAGAGAGAGTAGCTAGAGAGGGGATATCCTTTTCATTTTCTATATTTTTTTTGTATTTTGTTTTTATTTGAGTAATGGGGCAAAGCAGGCTAGTTTCTTCCACTGTTAAAAATAATTATTTATATATGAGTATGTGTGAGGTCCTAGCAGCTGCAATCAAGGCGTTTGTTTTTTTATTTTCTCTCTCCATCAATGCATATATTTAGGAGGGAAGGCGCTGCCTTTAGAGGGAGCTTCATTGAATTTGTTAATATGCCTATATTGCATTTAAATGCCCTATAGTTTCACAAACATTGCATTTAGTGACTCATATTTTAAAATCAAGCAAATAAATACTCTACTTATTTAAGAATATTATATAACAGAGGGCATTAAAGTTTAATTTTTAAAAACTTTAGGGTATTAAAGTAAGGTTATTTACATACTCACGGTATTTATATGCAATATTAGGTAAACAAGAGGGCATTAACATGTAACATTAAGTAAATAAGAGGGTACCAAAGTGTAATACGTTCAAACTCGGAATATTTATCTAAAATAACGGTCACTTAAGTCTGGAGGAATGTAACAGTTGAATAATATAAAGAAAGGCTCATAAAGAAGAAGGCGATTCATAAACATCTTGAATAGGTTCTAAAAAAAATTTAATGTCAAGAGCCTCCATGAAATTTGAGGTTTTGAGTACAGGCCTCTTTTAACTTAATAAATTGGAGAAAATCGTTTCTAAACTTTCAAACTTGTTCAGATCCCTATATGAATTATTGGAGAATCTCATAAACAGCTTCAACACGTATAGTGAAAAGTCTAACAATACGACTTGATGATTTGTCTGAGTCAAACTTATTACTCTCCGTTAACATTGTTTATGAGATTTTTAATGAAGAAAAATTCATGCGCCGAGTAAAAATTTTGGAACTCTGCCTTGAACTTTGCCACATAAATGTTTTTCATTGAAATTTTAATCACAGAACCCGTTTATTTATAATTCAAACTTCTTACTCTATCCCCAATAGTTCATGAGGTTTTAGTAAATTTTTGGAAGCACAGACGGATTTTTTCCAATAAGCACTATTACTTGTTAACTTACGTTTAAAAAAAGGCATACATGCAAGTATCTTCGCAACACAAGGGGTTATACTTAATTTATACGCATGGTCGCTTGAATCTAGAGGGGGGTTTATGTGCAACAATTGTTTGCATGTGCGTGAATTGTTTGCTTGTTAGGGTTTGACCCTGACAAGATGGGGAGAGCTCTTTGATGCTCAAAAACCCACAAAATTACCTACTACACTTGGACTTTTTAATGGCGGAGTTTTCTCAAATGTCAGATTAAGCCTTAAAAAAGACAGGAACTAATTGCTCTTAATTGCTATAAGAGACGATCACGAGTCTACTTCTCATGTGCTTTTTTGATTTCACTTTTTCTTCCTCTGCAATTGTTTATGTTATATGTTGTTTTTTTCTTCTTTGTAAAGAATATTGTTTAAAGAAAAAGAGGAAAGATCTAGCTCTTCCCTTGATCTAACTTCTTAATTTGTGCCCACGAGAGGGAGAATTAGTACTTGAATGAATCGCCACAAAATATGGCAATGGGTACCATAAATAGTTCAAATTGTAAGATTGTATCCTAAATTTTAATGAATCTTAATCAATATTTTGCACTTGAAGATATTTGAGTCATTAAGTGTTAATAATGTAGTTTGAGATAAGCTCATTTCATGATCTTCATTGGAAACAGATGCATTATGTTTGTTGTTTATGAAGGGCCACATGGTCCAACCCAAATTAGTTCAAAGCTCTAGTCTAGGTTTTAGGTTGGTCAAATGAGATGGAATCACTTGCACACTATCACGACTGAGAGAAAGTATGAAGAATTCATTTAATAGCTACTTTGTACAAAATCATGTAAGTAGTAAGTAACAACTTAGGCCTAAATTTTAAAGTTGATAGTTGGAGCGATTCATACATGTGTCGCACTAAAAAAAGAAATTTTTCCACCAAACCTCTAGAAAATTTTGGGGTTAAACTCCTTGGACCCCCTTTGGGGCGACAGCGGCGGTGATGACAAACTGTAGTAAGAGATCTCCCAGAAATTAAATTTTCTGATTAAAATCTCTCTTAATTTTTTTTCCACGAAACCTCTCATTTTTTACGCCATCAGTCTTAAAGTATGATGTCTATCTCTGTAATGACTCTTGAACCAAAAAAAAAATATCTGTTCATTTGACTGAGTTTGGGTGAGAAACACACATTGAGGGATTTAATGGCAAACAACATAGGCTTCTGGGGGTTTTGTAAAATTTACCCCTTTCCAAAGAGTGATAGTGGAGACAGGAAGAGTGATGCATCGTCAATTTCTCATGATATCAAATAATCTCCACCTAAGGAGTACGGATCTTAGCCCTTGATGGGATCAAGAAGAGGATTTTGGTGGCATAATTACTCACATGGACCTCTCCTAGCGTATATGCAGCTTGGAGTTTGACTTATTGACCGAGAGGAAACTGTTGACTCGTGAGAGATGTGTGGTCTAGCTTTTCCTCAGGATTCATATGCATACACAGTGTCCCGCAATGCCAGCAAATTTAATGGAAGAGCTAGTATTTGCCAACTGCATTGGTTTGAAAAGAGTAGCAGAGTAGCAAATTTTGCTCATCATTAAGTTTGTATAAGCACCCTCTTAGCTAAATAATCCATAGCTCTTATTTAAAGCATCTAGGTTCTTTCGTTTCTCCCTGTCTTTCTTTTTACCTCGACCTGGACTCTCAAGAGACAAAAACGATACAGAGAAAAACAGTTGACATAACATGAAACTTAATGTATATGTCACTATTATTAGTTATCTGTGCAATCAGACCGTCTATCAACATAAACTACAACATACTAACTGCACCAATGATCTACCGTTTGTTTTTCGTGACAATAATTTTAGTCATTTTTATGCATAAACAACAAGAGAATATTTAATTAAGTTACTCTTTTTTTTATTTAGGAATAAATCAAAATTTAGCTGTATAGAACAAAGTTTTTTGGATTAAAAACTGTCCATACATTAATTTGTTGTCTGCTCCGGTACCCACATTTTGAATAGTACAAAATCGGATAGGAAATGGTAAAATAACTAAAAACGTTATGGAACTCGACAAATGCACCAGTTGGCCTCTACTGAAGAGATCTTTTTCCAACAAGTGTAGGACCATTAAAAATATATATATATAAGATTCTTAATTATTCTCTAATATCCTTCTAAAGAAAAAGGTAATATTCTCAAAAAATAGAAAAGATAAAAGTCTAGTGCAAGTCTTTAGGTGTAGTACATTTTAAACTATCTTACATCCAAAGTATGAGATACATTGGTTCAATGATACTTAAGTAAAAATTGCAATATGGTTTATGAATAAGAGAGAACAATGTAGAAAACGAGGAAGGAAATAAAGCATCTTCATAAAATTATGGAAAATGCCTTGGGGATCATTTTCATGAGACAGAGGGAGGGGACAGGTGAGGTGTCCCCTCCCCATTGCTTGACGCACTGTTGGGGATCATTTTCATGAGACAGAGGGAGGGGACACCTCCCCTGTCCCCTTCACTGTCCCATGAAAATAGTCCCTGTAGAACTACTTTAAAATTATATATGGATATTAAGAGAGAACATATTTCTCCGATCATAACCATTAGTAGTTTAGTTAAACCTTTATAATTTGAAAATGATATCCTCAATGTCAAATAGAAACTATAAAAGAATCCAAATTGTCAAAGGGGGTAGAGGGGGACAAGGGTCAAAGATTTCGAAGGAAACAATAACTCTAAAAGAAAAGCAAGATGAAACAAAGAGGACATCCATCACCTAAAAGTCGAATGGGGTTTGAATTTGGGAACATGCCTTTGATATTTTGATGTCTAGCTTTGCTTTTCCCCCCCTCTTTGCTTCCATGTTCTATTAATATTCACTTTATCACCATGCATGACCCCCATACAATTATTGGGGAATAATATGATGACTTGCTCTTATCTTTTTTGACTTGGTCCTCCACACTATTCTCCTCTCCCCTTAGCTCCAAAGTATACACTAACAATGTAATTTCAGCCAATTTTTTTTTTATTTCATATATAATCTTGATTTTCCCTTTCAAATAGATCATCAGTCAGACCTCTAATCACATAAGATTCCACAGCTTGCAGTGAGTCGCCAACAGAACCCTCATTTATCTCAGCTTTTTTTTATTAAATTTTTAGGGTAACACATCACAAATTATATAAAAGATTAATGCATCATTATAATTTTTCTACATCTTAATTTCCATTAATAAATCAAACATCATATTGTTTGTCAACTATTTAGAAGAGCCGTGCTGTTAAATAGAAGAGAGCTTAATTTCTTAATCATAGTTGATTATTAGTTAATGAACTATAAAAATGAGCTTAACTGTGATTGGTTCAGAGAATTTCCTACGAGCCTAGCAATGGAACATTTTGGTAACCTCTTTTTGCAGCAATACATTTTTAGTGATTCTTCGATTCTCATTGTGTATCTAATTAGTAGCATATACCAAAAGCACCAAAATAATAAAAATATAAAAATATAAAAATATAAAAATATTTACGATTTTTCTATAGAGTACCCATGAGCATTTTATAAGAGAGGAGAGAGATAGAGAGAAATGAATAGCTCATTAGCCCCCTTGATTTGCATTAATTTCTGTGCATAATTCATTTCTTTCTATATCTCTCCTCTCTTATAGAGTGCCCATGGACACTCTATAGAAAAACCGAAATATTTATAATACAAATATAAGAAGATTTACTTTTATTATCATTATTGCATATTGAAAATGGAAGTTTGCTTTTTTCAACATTTTAGTGATTTCTTTTTCCAGCAAAATTTTCTTAGTAAATTCTTCAATTCTCATAGTACATCTTATATCAAAATTTTTAAAAACAATTAAAATATAAAAAAAAAACTTCGTTTTTTTTTTGGATCATTATTGCACATTGAAAATGGAAGCTGCTTCCTTCCCCTTTTCTCCCAGTCATTGCAATTTTTCCCTTCCAAGCTTTCATACGAGCTGAAAAATAGGTGTACAGCTGTAAAGAGAAAGAGACCTCTCTCTCTCTCTCTCTCAACCCTGCAACTTTCTGCAAAGTTGCACTGCTGC